GCCATTCTTTGTTTTTCCTAGTGGAGACCTTCAATATGAAGGTAAGCCTCTGGATAGGGGCGACTGCTAAGACTTGCTCCTAAACAAACGGTCTCCCCCTCTTGGCAAGTTGGGAGCAAGTTTTTTTTTTTCTTTTTGGTGGTTGACCTTTTTATTGGGAGTATGTTTTTTTTTGGGGTCTTTTTTCGCCCCCCCCCCCCCCCCCCCTTTTTTTTTGGCAGTCGCCCCCTTTATGGAAGCAAGCCTTCCTCCACATTTTTTGGTGGTCGCCCCTTTTGTGGGAGCAACAATGTGGAGGAAGGCTTTCCTCCATAAAAGGGGCGACCAATCTTCCTCCACATTTTTGGCAGTTGCCCCTGTTATGGGAGCAACAATGTGGAGGCAGGCTTTCCTCCATATTGATGGCTGGAGGCTTCCCAAGATGCAATACTGGCAGTATGAAGGTAAGCCTCTGCATAGGAGCGACTGCTAAGACTTGCTCCCAAACAATCCGCCTCTACTCCAGACTTTGTCCGTAGTAGTCTTACTCTAGTTTCTCCTTCAACCTCCAGAAGTCCGGCGGACTTGTCCTTAGTTCCGCCGGCGAACTGGTCTGGACTTTACCAGCCCTCCGTTCTAATCTTCGGAAATTAGGGGCACATACTCTGGTAAGGGGCACAGCGCACGAGCTGAAGCCAAGCCCTTTGGATTTGACCCCCTTTGAGCATGGTTCTTAACAGGGACATCCACGCTGCCTTGACCAAGAAGCATCAATGCTGGTCATGCTTTGGCAGTCGCCCTCTTCATGGGAGCAACAATGTGGAGGAAGGTTAAACAATTTGGAAGAGGGCCTTCCTCCATATTGATGGCTAGAAACTTCACAATGCGCAATACTGACAGCATGAAGGTAAGCCTCTGCATAGGAGCAACTGCTAAGGCTGGCTCCAAAACCAAGGGGCGAGAATTTCTGCACCTACTTTGTTGTATGTCAAATTGTCTACAAATCTATAATGGCCCCAGGAGTGATATTAAGGAAGTTTCAATAAATGCCAGCGAGTCAAGTTAAAGCAGAGAAAAACATAATGCAAGTTTGACCATCTAGTCAGAAATGTCACCACTTCCAAGTCCTTCAATTCCCCCACAAGTGGATACGTCAGTTTCGCCATGAGTTGATGGGTCATGTTGCTTGTTATCGCCGTCACCTTCAAGTTCATCTTGAAGTCGATCCCCCTGAGGTCCAGATCCAGGAGGATCTGCAGCATTATATGTGGCTAACCAGTTCATGCTAATCATGAGAGGATAATCTACAGGAAAACCTGGTGATAACTAAAGAGAAGTCTGTAACTTCCGGCACAATTCCAGCAGTGGGTATGTGACAGATAATGTTGCAATATTCCGGTGCATTTTCACACTTCTCCCATCGTCTCTGTGGCAATTGCAATGGGATATAATGATATTGACCATTATGATTTACAGGGGATTACGATGTATGGATATGAACTACACGATTCTAACTCGCAAGTCCAACGAGTTGTGACCCGATTTGGTTTGGAAGGATCAAGTTGAAACGAATTTGGTCAATTTCGATCGGGTAGCCGAAGTAAGCGTGCATAAAAAGGTAACCTCACCTTCCTGTCTTCTCCCTCCTTTGAAACCAACTATGGAGCCAGGTCCCGATCAGCTACCCACGCCCTCATCTTTGAATCGGGATACTGTGAAGCCGGAGCCGGAAAGTATGATGTCTACACCCCCATCAGCACTTGACCGACAATCTGGGGTCTCACGCCTATCACGCTTTGTGGAAGGCGTCGAAATCGTCGATGCAGACTTGGATTGCCTGCGAAGTAAAGGCTCTAGAATCACTGGAACGGTCATGAATGCTTATGCCAGTCTTGTACCTGATAAGGAGAACAGTTTGACTCAAGCGGGATGCATTATTCTGAGCTCATTTGTCCCTAACTTGATTCGTGGCGAAACCTCGTGTAACACTACACTAGAAAAAATTGTCTCTGTGGTAAGTCCATCCGTCAAAGCCAGTATTTCCAAACTCAAAGCCACCCAACCCCATGTGCCCAGAGGTCCAAAAGCAAGATTCTCGCCTCTAGGCGTTGGGCTATTCCACTGTGCGGAGGGTCTCCCCCCCATTGGGTCTTGGGTTGGGTCGACTGGTCAGCTCATGAAATAGGGTTCTTTGATAGTCTGGGCACCAATCCCGAATGGGCGGACCAGGTCAGCAGATTTTTTTTTATGGATCTACAGCCCATAGCCCGCTCATGTGATGGTTTCCCAGTATTTGTGTCAAGCTGCAGCGGGCTTGGAGCACTGGCTTAAATACCACCAGTATCCGGACATCAAATCACTAAAACATCGATTCAAAGATTGGACACGACGACACCACGCTCCACTGAAAAATCAGAGACAGCAAGATAATTGGTCTTGCGGTCTTTTTGTGATGATGGCAATGCAT